CAGTAGGGACCCTAAGGAGAATAGGATAAGGGTTTCTAATATATTAATACTATGGAGCTACCCCACAATTAATATATTAATAATATTAAAGTCCACCACAATAATATTATTGCACTCCCCTCACCTATCCCAAATTACATTTGAGACTCCTTATTATAATTATCCGATTTACCTCCCCATGTTTAAGATATAATGTCCATTAATTAATTCGATCACTAATAATCAAGAATTAATTAATATATTATATTACCTAAGCTAGCGCTCGCTCATAGCATTCATATTATGCCGGAATAAATCCACCTGCAGGGTTTAGCATAATATTCCTTAATGAACTCACTTCGGGGACATCATCATACTAACGCACATGGTGACCGTAAATATCCTAATAGCACATCGAACACACAATGTCATTACCCAATTCATTACGTATGTCGACCCAGCTTGGATCTCACCCAAAGAATCAAAGCAACAACAATTATGTGCACATGCCTATTTAATATCTTACGGGTTAAGAGCACGCAATAATTAACTGAGGCCTAGTTCGTTTACGACGATTAGTATAAAACGAACATCCCTCTCTGGGATCCTGTTCAATACATAAATGTACTAGTGCAACTAATCGGTCAAGACAAACCGTACGGTTGACACTACAACCGTTCCGATGGGTTGTTCAATTCCATCTAGGTTGTGAACCAATGATTCTTGTTTCATAAGTAACTGATATAGTGATCTTCGGTACGCCCGATGACGACCCACTTATCTACATGCAAAACAACAGAACGTGGAACTTATTTAACCAAACATAATTCTCATTCATCAAGGAATAACAAGTGTAATATCCACTAAAGCAAAGCTTAAGTATATAACACCAACATCCTTGTCTTGGATCTCCTCATTGTATAACTAGGGATCGATTCAAGTTTACTAGAGACTAAGTCCGAGACTTTCTCAAAATATGAATTTCATGAACTTGTGATTAATAAAGACTGAGTCCAACGACTCTCTTATTATCACGAATGGAGTTGTCTTGCAACCCTCCCACTACAACGAGGTTCCCTCTGCAAAGGTGTATATCACAAAATACGTGTTGCAGTTTTCCTTGTGGTATCACATTTGTACACTTGGTAACAAAGTCGAACTTTTACCTTTATCTTTCCTTAAAACAATTCTACAAATGAACATAGTGATTTATTACTTAGTATTCCTCTAAAAATCAGACATTCGCGCTAACGAACATATTCTGACTTTTAGTACTATAATAATCCACTCGAACTCGTTACCATGAAGTATCCCACAAATAGCCTAATTTCCGAACATCCTTTCCAATCCTATTAGTATCAACTTTCCAGCACGTGTGCTGAAATGCTCTGAATCCGAATATGTTCCTGACAAGGCCTAAGTCTTGCCAACAATTCATTCAGAGTAATGACTACTAAACTTTAGATAGGATTATGTTCAGAACTTATCCTGCTATTTGCACAACTCCAATACGAAAAAGCGAAATTCCTAATAACTCATCATTGACATAACCAATCTTCTTGAGAGACATTTTCCTTCGGTCTTGATGCACCGTCCTGTTTCGATGAACCAGGTGAAACACGTTGAGATCGAATCTTATCATCCAATAAGTATTTCTATGATTTTCCAAAAGGTATTAGTCACTACGATATTAATCGTAATGCCACTGATACATTAATCTTGACATCTTTCCATAACCGCCATTGTCCTTCCTCAAAGTACTCAAGCTTATGGAATGTCACTTAATGTACCCTGTCTTGAACAAAATTCTTAGAAGAAAAATATTCAAAACTACCTTTTGTCCTTAAAAAAACATAGAACTTTATAAATTGGATGAACCAAACTTAACATTTATTTGGCTTCTAACCCTCGACCTACAAAAAGTCATTTTTGTGATTTTAGCTACCAAGTATAATTCGTAGGTCTGATAGTTTCATCCATTCCCAAAGAACCCATGAGTTCAATGGCTATCCACCTTTGAATTCTACCAATACTAAAATCCCAAACACTAGATGCCAAATTAACGTAATGATTTATTTATTGAAGGACCTTTCTTCGTATTGGTTGTAGTCGACGTGTTATTTATTGCACAGTGAGATATTTTGGTTCCTTGAGTTTACAAATTTCAAATGGATAAAACATCTCGTTTTTACCATACACAATTTAGAAACTGAACACGAGTTCTTTCTAAAACTTGGTACGAAAAGACAATTACTCAAAAACCAAAAATTCTATTTAATATAACTCCCACTGCAATAGTTGTTATTTCCGTAGCTTGTCCATTCTAGATTGTAATTCAACCTTCACATGTCGATTGGTTCACTGAAACCTTTTTACATAATTAGTGGTTACGTATCTACATACTAGACACTTATAGATAACACCACTTAAAATGCTTCGACTTCTCAGTGAATAAGATTTACCTTTCTTGTATTAAGGATAGGACAGTTCATCTTTCTATGTCTATTTCGCTTAAACCAGATACACATGCCATTCGGCTTGTATTCTTCAGCAAAACTAGACACTATCCAAGTTCTATTTCTAATCATGTTTGAACAAGTAAATTATCTTTGAGTATTACGACAACAGATTGAAAAGACATTTTGAATTCCTGGGATCATGCAAACATAGTCTTTACTCAGTCAAGTGTTTTTGAATCATCAAATATTGATCCCTTCAAAACAACATTTGAATATATTCACCGGCACCTCAAAACACCGAATCCCCATAGGCCACTGAGTGTGGATGTCTACGGTTCAAACCGTCGCAAGAGGAGGGATAAATCTCATTAGCTTAACATACTGCCAAGCAATACTTAAATAATAGTCGGTTGAACTTTTGGCCAGCGCAATCAACTTATAAATAAATTTTATAAGAATAAATACGACCTTTTCCTTTGGAAATATCGTAATTATTTGCACTTTAAGTGTAACCCATTAATTGGTACTAAGTTTACTACCAAAATTATACGTCCACCTATGGGTGACCCGTGCGCTTTTGAAATAGCTCACTATAACCATCCCGAAGGAGATTCGTGCTTGTGAACTGTGAAATAAAACGTCCTTTGGGCTCGATTTAAATCACTTCACCGACAAACCTATAATGGAGGCCTTGAATGTTATTTATTTCAACCCATTACACACTTAATATAATTTTTAGTTTAAAGGGATTTTCCTAAACATGCTCCTAATAATTCAATTTGCACATAGAGTAATTAAATCACATAAGGACATGCATGATTAAAAGGCAATAATAAACGAGGAACTAAGATCCAACTATCATGGCCATTTTAATCAATCTCCCATCTTTTGGGAAACGCAGTCTAGTCCTTGTTGAAATGGGTCTTTCGATTCAGGATTTGGAATTTCCTTTTTCGCCGTGGCTCCCACTTTTCATCTTGAACAATTCGTCATCGGGAAAGTCGCCATCGGGTCTTCTCCGTTGGCGTGTGCCTACTGCCGCCGTCGCCCGTACTTCTGTTGACCTGGGTTCGTGCGTATCCGTCTGCAAACGCCTTAACAATGCTCGTATTTGACAGCAAGCTGCCTACGAGTATGTCTGCATTTGCACAGTACCACGTATCCCATCAACTACGGGTTCGTGGGGTAGCATGTAACACCCTGCTAGCTTAATAAAATCAGAGTCAAATTTTCACAATTTCTTTTCTAAAAATACGTATTAACTTGCAAAATCAATATTCGAGGTGTTACTGAGAAACGTTTCTTATCTAAAATCCGTTATCTTTCCTGCGTTAAAAGTATTAAGAAAAACGGAATATTTTAGAAAAATAAGCATGTAAAACTGTATAACATCTGACTGACAAAACCTGAATATTTACATGCGAGTTTGTAAACCTGAAAGTGTCAGCGGAAGTTCAAAACGTGGCAAAACATATATATACATGTCCAAAAGTCTATATAAACAAACCACGACCACCAGCTCTGCTCACTCCTCCGGACCGACCCTGCAACCTGAAAAAGGTAATATAGTGGGGGCGTGAGCACTAAAGGCCACTGTGCTTCGCAGAAACTCATACTAAAGTAAACATTAATAATAATATCAATATCATGACCGTAAGTATATATAAGTAAACTGTAATCTCCTGACACTAGGTCGGTAACTGAACTGAATATCTCAAACACTATGTCCGTTACCATGTGCACACTCTGATGGACAATTAAGGCTACTGCGCCTCCACCAGAACTCGGGATGGTCTATTAAGGCAACTGGCCTCCACCCAAAGTGGATAACTTATATACATACCTCAAACATGGTAGAGTAATTATAATCAATGTAATACTCAGTCTGAGTCCCCACCTGAACTGCTAGTTTGAAAATGTAAGTGCTGCTGCTGATCAATCTGTAAAATATATATAAATAAATAAATACTAAGTACTATGCTCAGACTGACTAAAATAGCTGCTAAGACGCTCGACTTGATCTAAATATTTAACTGGAATAATCTCGGGGTCTAACTTGACTGATAAGAAATTTGGACTAAATTGATACTGGTACACTAAACTGACTGGACTGAAAAATTAACTGAAATATTGTACTGAACTCGGACCGAGTCACTAAGTACTGAACTGCTCAAGTAACGGGTCTGAACCGGCCGGTTCACTGACTGGCCGGACCGCCGGCTCACTGCGGCCAGGCGGTCGGCCGCTGGCTGGTCACCGGCTCGTTCATGTGCGCGCACTATGCGCGACCTAGGC